GAACTCTGACGACAAAATATGAGCATGTCTAATATTAAAAGATTCTAGATTAGACGGTTAGTTAGTCCAATGCGGTTCATCCAACTGTGTATGTATCAAACGAAACCACATATTACGCCGTATCATGTGGTTTTCTGTCGTTTCTCTAGTTCATTTTTTTTTTTCTTTTCCGTTCCTATCTCTTAACTATTGTTTGCGTACAAGGTGATTAAATAAAAAAATTCAGTTTTATTCATTTTCACCTGATTATTATTCATGTCTATTCATTAAACCATTCAATGAGACTTTTTTTATTACTTCACACGTCACATAGTATACGATTAATCAAATTAGATTTACATTATCCTAAACTTATGTAAGATTTGACATTTGTTATGTAGTGCGTCATTTTGAGGGAAAGTTACTCACTGTTCTACACTGATAAAGAGGTCTTTACCAGTGCAGGTTCGGACACGTTTAACATTTACGACACGTACTTCGTCAGGATATAAACTTACACAAGAGAAGTAAAGCGACAGTGCAGTCTCAGGGTTGAGACACAGCAGATCGGTACGGCGTAGACGACCAGGAATGCACTTCTCCGACCGAAGGCTCCCACCAGATATATGGTTCCCGTTCCACGACTAATACACAAGCCGTCGACAGTCCCAGTGGCGTGAGCGTACGTCCGTGACAGACGTCCGGGTGGAAGAAAGAACGTCAAAACTTTGCTGCTGGGTCAAGCATCTGGCAAATCACAGGCCGTTCAGGCCCGCACCATCCAGCAGACGAGTGATTAACCGCGGTAGAAGGACCTAGGTCTACATTCGCTGACCGACGCCCTCGCGAGCCGATGCGAGAGGTGAGGACGAGTTTCGTACGGTGTGGACAAGCGTGCCGAGGAGTCTCACACCTTAAGCTGCTTACGAAAACGGGAGCGGGAAAAACTTACACAAGTAAACTCATATGAGGAGTCAGTTTATAAGTTGCATTTCGTGTTATAAACCGAATAGTATGTTGAATAACAATTGCCTTTGCAGTGATTGATTCTCTGCTTAGATAAGTTTTGGGTCTTCTATGGAGAGCTCAGACATGGGAGTCCATTAGTTGAGAAGTGTTATACTTATCTACACTAACTTAATTTATTCCTAGTCCTATCAAAATTTTCGCGTCAATGGAGGAGAACAGGACGTCGAGTAGCCGGAAACTGACACTAACCATTGTGATAAGTGAAGACTGCTAAGCAGTAAGTTGTATACAATAGACGAAGGTAATTTCCAGCCGAATCGGACGGAGTCTCTAGAGTCGTTTACGAGACCATTACTTCCGGTATAATACAAGGTTTGGTGTAATAGCGCCGAAGGAGGAACAATAGATAGGTCCGGTGTCTGCGCAGTTTTGTTGTACAAACTTGAGGAAAAGAAGGAAATATAAACACTGAATTTCAAACTTCTCAACGAACCGAGGCTACCAAACCTACCATAATTCGATACACAACGAGTCTTATCTTTATTGTTTGGAACAATGTCGACACGTTGTTTCTTTTCTCCGGAACCCCTGTTACCGCGTTTTGCTTCCTCATTCGTTTTGCGTTGATCTTATGCTCGTTTGTGAATCCCAAGGAAGAGAACTATTCCCGAATATATGAATTATTGAATTTCCCATCAAATTGCCAATTGTGACAAGGAGTTGTAGCAGAAAGATCGTTACACGGGTAGTGACAGGGGAAATCTCCTCCGCGCACCTCCTTCAAACATCAGAAAATATCACCAACTGGATGTCTACTGTGTTAATCAAACCGGAACTAGAAGTTCCCGACGTTTGAAAACCCATAGACGACCTCACTCTAAGAACTATAGTACCCAAACTTGAATGTGTATAACGCGCATCATTTACTGACAGTATAGCACAGTCGGTCGCCGTTAGAACTAGCGACTATTACAGATAGTACACCACCAATGTGTATAGCAGTTCTGTACGAATCGACAGTGACGCTGGATAGTATCTCTATAGCCTTATATATGTATGTTTATGTGTTATAACCTGTGTCTGATATTTCCCGTGTGTCAAAAGTAAGTGATTACTTTCAGTTTGTTACAAACAAAGGGGACAAAATAACCACACGGACAGCCGCTATTCGTTAATTTACTGAATAACAATGTTATTTTATTTTTACTTGAGCTATGTAACGGTAAAATGTCTCCTACCCTGATCGTCAAACTTTTCCTACATGACCCAAATAATTAATGTAATAATA